GAATATAAATCTTAAAATAAAAAAAAAAAAAAAGGACATAGATAAATTCTATCATAAAAATTGACAAATATATCAAAATTCATATTTTCAAATAGAACGAAATTGATGAAAGTAGTATATTTATAGGGTGTCCCCAAAAAGTCATAAATCGTCATTCCCACTTTTTCACTTTCAAATTTCTAATTCACGTTATGTATAAAACATTAATTTAACGATTTGTAACGATCTCATAAAATCAATAAAAATATTATTATTCTTTTTTTTTTTTTTAATTTATGATACTTTCAACTCAAATCTAAAATTACTTTTGTAAAATATCAACTCCTGCTATATTAAAATTATTTTTTTATATTTAATTATACATATAACAAAATTAAATAAAATTTTGTTAACATTTTTTGAAAATAAAATACATTAAATTTGTTCAAATTTAAATTATATATATATATATATATATATATATATATATATATATATACACATACAATTGACATATACACTTTCTATAAATAAAACTATGATTATTTAAATCATTTTAATAACAAATAATATTACTAATAATTAAATGAAATATAAAATAATTTCTATACTTATAAAATATTCAAAGAACATTTAATATACACTCGTTGAAATCACCGAGATTAATCAAATATTATTATACTACTTTGTTCTTGATATTTATTCATGTTACACAATAATAATTACCTATTTTCAATTTAATAAACATTCACCAAGATGTCGTTGCACTTCCTCAACCGATTATTATCTCTATCGACATAGAGAAACTTTTTTCTATTTTTCTTTTTTTTTATTTTAAACCAAGAAATATTAAATAGTTATTATCCACAAATTTATATAATCATATCTACGTAGAAGTTATCTAACTCCTTCTTTCCTTTTTTTTTCTAAATAAAGATAATTATTAATAATTGTATCAGGAAGATATATATGTAACCATAATTATTTAAAAAAAAAAAATAAAAATAAAAATCAACCATCATTGAAAACATCAAACAATGATTATTATCATAATATGCAAATACATATTTGAATGATTTATCTATTTATCTATGAAACATTTGATTTATTGAAAACAATCACATTTTTGTTGTTGTTGTTGTTGTTTTATTTGCAAATGAATAAATGAATTTTGTAACATAACTGTATAATTTTTTTTAATATATATTCTTATAAATAATTGTAATTAATTCAACTTTAATTAACAATTCATTATTTTCGTTATATTCACTCGTTTATTTTAATGGTTTATCCCCCCCAACCCATATCCTAAGATTATGTAATTATATCTTAACGTACAGTTATGTATATATGTATAAGTAAGTACTTCTGTAAGAAAAATATACTTTAAAGAAAGGAACAAATAAAACGTGAATGGTATACTAATAACCCATAACTATACGAAACCGGTGCATTCCATGGGTATACTTTTGTAGTCTAAATCCCATATAGAGTTGTATTATTGTTTTTTTTTTTTTTTTTTAGAAATATAATATTCAAAAGTTAACTGTAAATATTCAATAAAATGTATTTCTTTATGTAAACTATATAAACTTGAGAATATAAATTGTTGATCATNAAAATATACTTTAAAGAAAGGAACAAATAAAACGTGAATGGTATACTAATAACCCATAACTATACGAAACCGGTGCATTCCATGGGTATACTTTTTTAAACTTAATTCACATAGAATTTTTTTGATTAGTTATTTCTTTGTATAACTTTAAGAAATATAATATTCAAAAGTTAACTGTAAATATTCAATAAAATGTATTTCTTTATGTAAACTATATAAACTTGAGAATATAAATTGTTGATCATCTGATTTTTGAAATGTTTTGAAATGATTTTTATTTTAAATTTTGTTTTTTGTTTATTTTTTTTATACATAAATCACAATTTATGTATTCTTCATTGTTTTCCGTTGTTGTTACTTGGTAAAAGGTAGCTGTAATACTTTTCATTCATCTGGCTTTCACATCTTTTGAATTTTACGAGATTCTTAAGTCAAACGTTTGAAAATTACGATGATTATTTGTTAATGAGACAACTTCCTATAAATAATAATAATAATAATAGTAATAATATTCTTGTTGAGTGTAATAATCGGAAAATTTATAAAAAAAAAAAAAAGTAAAAAATTTTTCTTGGAAACATATCTTTAAATAAAAATAATAGAAATTATAATATTTTAACGTAATAAATATTATATCATATATTATATAATAATATAAATGTCACACATTAATAATAATTAATAAATAATTAAAAATATTCTAACAAAAAAAGTAACAATTAATGTATATCAATAAACAAATTATAAATTTACAACACATTTCTATATATAGAAATTATTGAAATGTTTTATATATATATGTTTTAATATATAGTGTGTACTATTAGAAATATCTATGAATATATTATAACTAATTACGACAATCATTGCTTACCGATTTCTATGAGACTATATGACTTTACCATTTATGGTAGCTTGTCGAGAGCCCTTGAAAAACGACGTCGAGAAGATCTTGACTTGTACTACGTGGGTACTTATACGTATACATATATAAATACATACACATCCATATATATATAGAACATTTATAAAATACTTGCTTTGGGACTTGTTTGTAAGAAAAACAAAACTGTTGGTGACCTTTGTTTCGCGGTCGAGTTCACTGTACAGTATATATTTACAAATACTCTTGTTTATTATATTATATGGATATTTTCCTTGAAATGTATTTAATACAACACTAACATTAACACACACAACTTTAATTATTTAGCATTCCCGTTTCGCGCCAATTCTCATATGAAACTCGATAATTCCTTACTACGTACATATATATATATATATATATATTTTAATATAATTTTAATATATTTTATTAATTATTATTATTATTTTATTATTATATTATTTTATTATAATATTATATTATAATATTATTTTATATTTAAATATATAATATTTAATTATATTTAATTTATATAACCTATATTTATTTATTTATTTTTTACAATTATAATATAATTATAATAAAATAATTTAATTGTTTATTTTTTTATTATATTAAAATTTATTTATTTTTTTTTTTATAATTATAATATAATTAATATTATATAAAATAAATATAATTATTTTTAATTTATTTTTAAATATAATTATTTTTATTAATTATAATTAATTTATATTTAAATATAATATATTAAATATAATATTTAAATATATCTATATATATATATATATATATATATATATATATATAGTTTCATTTGATTATAATTTTATCGTCTAATATTATCTATTTACTTTTGTACCTTTTATTATTATTAATATTAATATTATTATTAGTATTATTATTATTTCTTTCTTCATCGAATATAAATTGATCGAATCATTCTAATTTGTCAGAATAACGTCTTATCACGAAACATTCATTATCCAAAAAATAATCTGATAAACAAGTATCCGCATTTGACCACAATTCTTCTCCCCCCCCCCAATACGTTTTATTCTTTTGTCTGTTTATTTTTTATTTATTTTTTTTTTCTTGTTTCATTTTGATGAATCAAATTCTGATATAAATTAATTTCCCGCGTTAATTCTTGGAATGTAAAATGTAACAACGTCATACGTTTTATGAATCATTGATAAGATGTCAAAAAAAAAAAAAAAAATTCGTAAGATAATAAAAAATGTTTCAAACATTGTCTTAAATAATAAAACATAAATTTATATTTATAAGATGATTGATTTAAAAATGAGAATTACGCGTTGAGATATACATGTATATAAAATTATGATTGTATAAAATTAGAAAATAAATAAATAATATTATTCGTAATGTGTTACACGAGCAGCATAAAACGGCCGAGTGAAAAAAAAAAAAATGAGAATTAAGAATTAGTTTGAAAATCACTTAGTTAGTATTAGAGAAAATCATCATCATCCGGAAGCTCGTAAAAAAAAAAATATAATAATAAATACAAGTCTAAGCATGATCCTACTACTAATACTACTACTACTACTATTACTACTCATCATATAATCATCGTTCTCGATGCACCACGATGCACATTATCCTCGTTACTTCACTTTACGCGATTGTAAATTATCTCTTGCATGCTTTTCTACTTTAAAGTTATATCTATTATTATTATTATTATTATTATTATTATTATTAGCAATAGTTTGAAATAAATTTCTTTGAAAATTCATCAAAACGATTAAAGACATCTATATAACACATCCTTAAACTTCGTACTCGTAAATTTCAATTTATCGATCAATTAATTATATATACAACGTATTTCATTGTAACACTGTTTGTAATTAACATAAATATATATATATATATATATATATCTCATTATCATACGTGTATATTTATTGATGAACCTGTATTCACATCATAATTAATTTTGACACTTTATTACTCTGTTCAATTTTCATCATTATCTTGATCAAATTTATATTATTTGTATAAATAATTATAAAAATATAATTTTTTTTCTTGATTTTGTATATATAATAGAAGCTACAATAAAAAAAAAAATAAAAAACAAATATAACAATAATAATAATAATATACATTTATTTTCAATAGAATGAAAAATAAACGACTTAACACACGTAATGTAAAATTGAACATAACGATAGATAACTGTAATCATTCTGAAAACAACAAAGTGGCCTATATAAACGTACAAATACAAAACTATTCTAATAAAATAAATAATATAACATAACCGATATATAAATAAATAAATAAATAAATAAATGATGTTAACACACTTATGTACACAAAACTAATCAAACTCTACCAAAATATATTTTAACCCAAAAAAAAAAATTAAAAATTAAATATAACGTAAAACGAAATCAAATATACAATGAACAATTTAACATTATTAAATATTAAACAAATTTAAAATTATAAATAAACAACAACAACAATAACAATATTACTCACCTGCATTGTACGATGATTTGCAAAGATTTATGAAGAACCGAAGATAATTGAAGTTAACTAAAAAAATAATAATAATAATAATAATAATAATAACTAAATATATAAATATTAATATGAATGTGAATGTGGTTAGTGTAAAAACGTTAGGACAAAACGGAAACTCGCGTTATGTACCGTGACTCTGAGCGTCTTTTACGAGCAAAGTGAGTTCACGGTTGCTTCGTGACCGCGTGACTGTCTGATAGATACTGGGAGGACGAGATACCACGGAAAAGGAACAAGCTCCGTCTGAGAGGAGGAATTGCAAGAGTAGTAGAAGGAGGAGGAGGAGGAGGAGGAGGAGGAAGGAGGTGGGGAACGAAGAGGAGGACAAGTACAACGGCGTGCATGAGTCTCTACCTACTATTCTTTTACTTACTTTGAAAGAACGATACCCCATATATACGAACCATACATGAACCATACACGAACCATATTCGAATACCATACTCATTCC